AAAAACTTGTTTAGGCTCAGCGCCTGTGGCTCAAGCAGCTAAGGCGCCAGCCACATACATCTGAACTGGCGAGTTAGAATCCAGCCCGGACCCGCCAAACAACAATGATGGCCACAACCAAAAAATAGCTGGGCACAGTGGCGGGCGCCTGTGGTCCCAGCTACTTGGGAGGCGGAGGCAGGAGACTCACTTGAGCCCAGGAGTTAGAGGTTGCTGTGAGCCGTGATGCCATGGCACTCTACCCAGGGCGACAGCTTGAGGCTCTGTCTCAAAACAAAAGAAATATTTGTTTAATAATATAAGGAAGGAACTAATTATTAATGGCCTGTTCAGAGAGCTAGTCTGAGAAAATAGCTGTATTAATGGGCTAGGGATCCAGAATCCATATTGCGTACTTGTTATTTCTCTATCTGGGGTCCTGGGTTGCTTGGGAATTTGATGGGCCCCCAGAGCACTGTGCAGTGCAGTTTCGCATATAGTTTCATGGTATTCAGGTAACCCCTTTTCATTTACCCTTGGATTCCACGGTAAGAGTCCCTGGCTTGACAGTTTGTGCAAAACCTGCTTTGATTTCCTTCTCTTACTTTAGTGAACTGTGTAAAAATTCAGTATTTTAACTTTGCAATAACTGACATGTTTAGATAAATCATAGCTAATGCAGTTTCTTCCTTGATACCTTTTAATAAATGAAAGAAAATCTTCTAAAAACTTAAGTTTTAATGTAAAATGCTGCCTGTATTATTATCTGTATATTCTGTAATATTCTCACAGACTGGCAAGATGATACAATGAAAAGAACACAGACTTTGGAGATAGGCAGAGCAGGGTGACAGCTCTGCCACTTGCTGGCTTTGTGACCACAGCCTGCCCGAGACCTGGGTCCTTTAGCTGCCAAATGCAAATGAAATATCTGCCAGGCAGAGTCACTGTGCATATTATTATAAATGAGCTATTTCAGAACAGAGCTAGCACATAGTAGGTTCTCGGTATAGGGTAGTCATTAAAGTTATTATTCCTATAATATTTTTAAAATGTTCTTTTCAGAATATTTTGATTGATGCCTGCGTTTTAGACTCTGATTCAGGGCTCCTCCAACAGGTATGTTTCAAGAGAATGCTTGGTGTTGCTTATGAAAATTAATGATTTTTTTTTTGATGGCTGCAACCGAAAAAAAAAAAATAGCCAGGCATTGTGGTGGGTGCCTGTGGTCCCAGCTACTTGGGAGGCAGAGGCAGGAGACTCGCTTGAGCCCAGGAATTGGAGGTTGCTGTGAACTGTGATGCCACAGCACTCTACCCTGGGGAATAGCTTGAGGCTCTGTC